GGTGGTGGGTAATGCTTCTAGGGTTTTGTATTAGGAAAAAAGTTAAAATAAAAACAAACAAAGTCCTCCAACTTGACAGATATGATCTGGAAGTTGCTGAAATTCAGCATGCAGAGAATCGAGTACTAGCAAGGCTGTTTTGTAGAGTCATTTTTTGGAGTACAAGCAAGTGAAGAGCACTGCGTCCAGCCACAGAAGAACTCTATGCTTTCCTGTTCACTCCAAGCAGTACAGTATTCTACACATTTCACCTAAGAATGGGAATATGTCTTTGAGGCTAGTATATAGTTTCAAAATGTAAGAAAATTCAACTTGTGGCAGGAAATACATTTGTAATCAAAAAACAAAACAAAACCAAACCCAAAAGTACAAAACCTGGCAACATCTGCCATGACTAAAAAAGCAGCCCAGGGTAAATAAGAGTTCTGAATAATACTAAAGCCCTACTGAGAGCATATCTGGACTGTCTCCCTGCAAGTGTGGATCTCTGTTCCCTTTCAGAGGTGGACAAGAGAGAATTCGTTTTGCTGTGTTTCTGCTTTACTTCTGCAGCTCAGGCAGCCATAGTGCTTTCCATGGGGTCAGCCACCCATGGAGGAGCACAGGAAGTATTTGATCTTCTGTGGTAAGGGAGGGAGCTTCTGGGAAGGAATCAGACACAGCTGACTACTGAGAATCTCCTTCCTGCTTCAGCAAAGGAACTTTGAATTGCCTGACTCTACAAAGCAAGCCAAACATCCACAAAGTTTCTAACTCTGTCTATGCTATAACTGTCTGAGAACAGAATCTGATAAGGACATAAAAATAAGTGACCTCTGTCTACTGCATTTATCTGACAGCTGGATGTACCTCAGTTATCACTCCAGACATTAAAACCAAATGGCAGTCAGAACTTCTAGCTGTTCTTTCTTCTGGCACTAGCTACCTTTCATTTTTATGAGGAGGAGAAGTGAGTATTTCTGCTGGGTGATACACAGTTTGCACATAGAAATGGCTGAGAAGAGAATTATCCAAGTCACTCAACATTCATCCTTAGGTTAACCATGGATGAGTGCTTGTATTCCTTGTGTATTGCATTATTGTTAAAAAGTTAATCCACCTGATGTCAGCTACAGGTGTATTCACCAGCCCCTATTTACACAGGCAGAAATGTTTTGCAGAATACCTGACCTGCAGGTAATGAAGTTTCATTAGCATTTTTCATTGAAATATCTTGGGTTGGTAAAAGATCAAGTGAACATTTTGAGCATGATGTTCTTTCCTGAAGAGGGAGTTTCCCACCCCAAATGTTGCTGTAACATACTCCTGATCATCACCACTGCGTAGGGAGTTCTGGTCACTACACAGAGCAGGAAGAGGTTTAAACACAAGCGTGTGTGTTGTGTAATAGTGATGACTAGCATAGCTGCAGTGATACAGCTGGCTGGCACAGACATGGCTTGTACTGTGGCAACCACCAGCTTATACCACAGGGGAACCCCACTGCTGACCAGGTGGGCAGACCCTTACGGCAAGGCTGTATGCTCTGATGAGTTTGGTTCTCTGGGGCACTGCATGTCTCATTTTTCTCCTCTTAACAGCAATGTCAGTAAAGCCCTTCCTCCATTGTCACCAGTGGAATTTGATCTAAAGGATAGGCTGATTTCTGAAAATGCCTTTTTTTTTTTCCAAAGAGAAGTAAAGGTAATCTCACCAGGGCTGGGTGCCCATCTTAAGACATGCTTTCATGGGCCCATCAGACTCTTCCACTCCAAAGTGCAGGAAGAATAGCATGGTCCTTCAGCAACACACCCTGGCAAACCAAACATGTTAACGCGTGTGGGGTAAAGAGATCTAATGTAACTTGGGACAAAGGGTAACAAGAATGGATAAATGACAGCAATTATAAACTCTGAAATTGAGATCACTAGTCAAATTGATGGTAGGGAACCCAAAAAAGGGGAGCATGCAGGATTTTTTATAGGAGAAATGACATAATTGGAAAAGAAAAAACTCTGAGAAGTATGTATGTATTTGTGACAGGAAGGCATGGAAGGCCAAGGGCACCCAGCAGAATTGGCTCTGAAGCAAGGAAGGACTTTCCTCTGTTTTTCTACCTGTGTTACTTCAGAGATACTTGAATATGGAACCCCAGTCAATTTTCGCACTACTGGATTATTTTTATAGTGAATACAAGGCTCCGTAAGTTAGGTCAAATAAAGATGGCTTTTGGAAGGCCCTTCAGAAAAAACCCAATATGCAAGATATGCACCATGGTTCAAAATGAAATAGTTAAGACAGTTCAGCTTTTTGAAGGACTTGCTCGGGGCTCGAAACAGATGGGTGTTCATACAGCCTTTTAATCTCCTTTCTTGTTTTAAGAAGGCAAGAAGGTAGATACAGTACTGTGTTTTCTGTCAACAGTTTCCTCCTCCTGCAGATTCTTAGAAGAACCAAAACCTAAGCTAAAGGTGACCTCCCTTTTACAGTGTCTTTCTGAACAAGCCGTATCTCCCACCTTGATTTACCTGCAAATTTCAAAGAACCGCCTGAAGTATGTTTTTTTAAACAAGACAAATAGAATGATCCCCCCTCTGTCAAGTATTTAAATTTAACTGAAGTGTATCTAGTAGTGTCTAACCAAAGGACTGTTTGGATTTCTTTTTAGTCTTACTTGTATTTGTGTCATCAGGCAGGCTTGACTGGGAGAGCAGGCTGTTTGCATAGGTATGTATTTATTTAACCTCCTGGTGGTCTGGATGTCAATGCTGAACTTTCCACATCTTAACCTGTGTTCATTCAATTGGAACAAATTTTGAGTGGCCATTTTCAGAAAAAAAAAAAAAAAAAAGAAAGAAAAAAGCTATGTATAACACAGTCACTTTGACACTAAAATCTGTATTTGTCTCACATCCAGTTCTACTTTTTAAGCTGAGCAAGAGGAACATAGTAACATTCGAGGGATTTTTGTCTGATGCAACATATTTGGGCAGGAAGACTGATGCAGCCTGGTCAGCAAATACTTAAAACGCACTTTAAACCAACATTATTTTCCCAATTAAGTGGGTGGGATTTTGTTGATGTTTTTTGGTTGGTTTAATATTATTTTTTTCATAATGGTAAAATTTCATTACTCACTGGCTTTTTATGTGTAATGAGAGAGTAGATTTAAACACAGCCCTTTTTTTAAACATAAGTGAATTCTATTTTAAAATCTTAGAAGAGAGCTTTTTGGACATAAAGTAATAGCACACTTATGAGCAACCTCAAACCGAGTATGCCTCCTTTATGAACATGACCACTTACAGATTTTCTCTGTGTATGTTTCTTTTGTACATAAGTGAGAGAAATAGTGTTACGAAATTCTACCCAAGACACAGTGTTGTCCTCTCAGCCAAGTGTGCATGCTGGTGTGATCCTTACCACATCAGGACAGATCTGACCTTTGGCAGTTACTTACTTGGGCAGTTAATCCCAAAGCAGATTTTGGCTAACAGGTGTTTCAGAGGATGACACTTTGATCTTTAAATATTCATTATTTGATTCTACTGTATAGATGGTCCACGGGCCATGTTCTAGTGCCAAAGCAGCCATACCCTGCCTGTATTGAGTTTCACATGGATCTTGTCTTCTGCAGGGTTAACAATCTGGAGCCTGTCATAAAGCAATTTATCAACCAGCTGGCCTTTCAAATAGGCAGCTGTCTAAATTCAGAGTTAAAAACATAACATAAGGTGCCAAATTTAGTGGCAACTTACAATGAACAGATAAAGTACGAAGGAGAAAAGGTGTACACTTACTTACACCTTGTTTCAGGCTGAACCCTGCCATGATACAAATGCCGGAAAGCGCTGTGATCACACTTCTGCTTTCAGTCCAACTGTATTTCTCTGCCTGAAACAGTAATAGACTTTGACCCTAGTACTCCGGGCACATAAAGTTTTAAAAGAAGGGAAAGGAGACTGGGCACCGCTCCACATTCAGACAGGGGGAGAGGCTTGTGCCCTGCAGAGCTGTGCCCTGGGTGCAGTCTCCCCTCCTTCTTCTGCACCAGAGGTTATGGTGTGTGTATATAACTGCACAAATATCTTCACACAACATGTCTTGTGGGATATCACTCCAGCCTTTTATAGCTGTGGCTCTTATTTGTGTGTGATCTCAGGGTCATGTCTCATGAGATCCTTTTCTACTGATGGGAATCAGGTGTTTCTATTGTAAAAAAATTCTAGGTGCAAATGAAGCCATATACAACATTTCATGATCTTTGCAGGGTTTTTTTCTGTGATTTCCTTGTGGAATTTTTCATATAAAAAAAACCTAATGAGGTTAGTTTTAACTGATGGTAAATGAAGCAGGTGTTTAGATCTAGTTCTCCTGCATAGCTCAGACCACATATGGTTGACTGACAACAATGGTAAGATTTCCTAAATTTTCCCCCAAATTCTGTTAGTTGTTTTGGTCCCTTCCTCTGTTCCTTCTTCCAAAAAAGTTATGCATCAAATGAAATTTTAAGCTTAGGCACATGTGGTTAATTGCCAATCTTAGCAGTGCAGATGAACCGAGTTGTGAGAAATAGAAAGTTTGGGAGGAGTTTAAGTGTTGCCTGTTTGCCCCAAAAGGGGAAGTGTACCAAAGTGTGTAGATAAGACAGGAAGTCAGGTTCTGAAAATAGACAAAGGGTCCTGCATACCCCCCAAAATTGCTTTCATCTTATCAGCATAGATGTGGGTAGTTTGTTGCTCACGGAAGGAGAATTTGCAGGGTTTTCTAGATTATTACGAACAGCAAAGTGTCAGGTGTTTGTGTACAACTTTGTAGTTAACCAAAGGTAGTTCTCTGAGTGTGCTGGAAGGGGCACAGTTCAGTGTAACCTGTGTGTGCTTGTGAGAAGGATGGTAATTCAGAATTGTAGCACTGATAGCTGCAGTTCTTCCTCTTTCTCTAACTCAGCTCTGTAACACAGCAGAAACTGTCAATTGAGAACAGAGTGAGTGATGCTTTAACCCCTTGTGTCTTCCCAGGTGGTATCATGATAATCTTACCCGACATGCAGCAGAAGCGCTGCTGCTTTCCAATGGGCAGGATGGAAGCTATCTCTTGAGGAAGAGTAATGAAAGGGAAGATTTGTATTCCCTCTCTGTAAGGTAGTGTATGGACCCAAGTGAATTTCTTTCATGCCTCACAGCTAGCAGTTTTAAAATCTGCATTTACTCCCATGTTTGTTTGCTTTTCTCATGCATTGAGATTACCTGCAGAGGTTTTTCCTAGGGCTCAAACTATTTTAATACATATTTCTAATAGTGTAGTCCTGCTGAATGACATTTTGTTAGAAAGAAAGAAACCATTGGATTGGATTTGAAAATGGCACTCATTTTTACAAACTATGAATCAATCTTATTGACAAAAACATATTTCTGTGGATTTGCTGTAGATACTCAGTCCTCATGATACAAACCTATATGGCAGTTCTGGGAGTTAAAGAAACAGCTGATGGGAGTAGAAGAGTTTTATGATGAGAATACTAGTAAATATACCAGTTAATAAGCGCTAAATTAGCCAACTTTAAAAAGGAAATAGAGTAAGTACAACTCATTGCAATATTGCAACATTCTTGTGAAATTAAAAGATGAAAACCCTGTCATTGCAGTGGAGTCACAGCCGTTGCTTGGCTGTTGTAGGGCCTCTGCACTTGGCTTGCACACATTGTATCTCAGCTGATTGTAGCACAAAACGTGCAACAGAGGTCAACAGAGGCATGTTCTACAATATCATGAGTACTGTTCAAAGATAAATATTTGTTTAAATACCTGTTTGAAATTATAATATCCTGTGGAAGTGGCAGTAAACAATGGAAAAGATGCTATAAACCTTTCTTCACTATGTTTTCAATATATTTGCTCCGTACAGTTTCTTCTGAGACAGATTTTTCTCTGGACTATTTTGGATGCTAATGACATTAACAGAAGTAACATTAACAGAAGTAACTTTTTCACAGGAGAGATACTTGCAGTAAGTGCTTTGTTGTCTCCTGAAGTCAAAATGAGTGCCCATCCAGGAAGTGAGGCCTTGTGCACTTCTCTAAATACTATCAGTTTTCATAAACAAGTACTGTTACTTTCTGGACAAAGGATCCTGGTTCATGTTTGACAGTGCCAACCATAGAGGAAGTATTTGTCTCAGTACAGAGATAGAACACACAAATAGGTATCTAAAGTTAGGTTATTAAATCCCTGTTTGGGTGCAGAAAGGAGGCAGCCTATTTTTCAAAGAGAAACAGGAGAGTTTCAATGAGGTTGGGATGCTACTTGTAAAGTAAGACATACACCAAATAATATAGGTACACAATAAAGACTAAAGTCCAGTAAGGGAATAGACAGAAGGCTGGAAACCTCATTTGTGAGTCTTTTTACTGATTGCTACAAGAGTTAATTTAACTTCCCTGGCCTTTCTAGGCTTTCATCATCTCACATCTGTAAAGTGACAATTAGATTTTTCTTAATAAATCTGAGTCTCAGCTGTGAGGAGTATTAGTGAGGGACAGTAATGGTGATAGTATTGCTGCTAGGACAGTGATTGTCAGGCTGTGATCTGGGCCAGATTTCCTGTAGTGGAAGCTACTGTTTAAGGGTTGCACATGCCAAATGCCTTCAGCAGTTTTGCATTGACAATTTTTCCTTTTTTATTTTAGGGGAAAAGATTCTGTCAAACACTTCCTTGTTGAACATACAGGAACTTCGTTCAAATTTGGATTTAATGAATTTTCTAGCTTGAAGGAATTAGTCATGCATTTTGCAAATCAGCCTTTAATTGGAAGTGAAACAGGTAAGGAGAGCATATGAACATATGTGTTTGCATGAACACATTTGTAGTCATGCTTTGTACAGATCTAAGTGAAAGGAGTTTCCGGTGTCTTCAGTGTCTATCAAATCAATCTACTGCTGAAGTGTTCCTCTTCAGAATTCATGATTGTGTTAACCACAGGTATCTTAGTTGTTCCTCTTCAAAAGCTCTTTCCAGTACTCTGAAGGCAAACTACATGTAACCTTACGGGTTTTTTGATAACCAGAGACGTGAGCTCCTTTTGATTTCTCAGAGAAGGAAGCATGTCAGAATATGCGTGTACTGGAAGCAATAGAACCTTCTCAGAAAGTGAAAAACTAAAGCAGGGTGTTTAGTGAGGAAGTAAATGTTCATCCTTGAAGTTGAAATTACAGAAAAAGAATAAATGGAAAAGGGATTTGAAATTGTTCAGCTCTTAGCTCCACCATCCTTCATCCAGGGAAGAAGGCTACAGTGATACGTTCCTCTTTCCTTCAGGGAATTTGGCCTGTATTACCTTGCCCTTTTCTGTCTACAGTGGATCAACCTGCTGATACTATCTGCCATCAGAGTGATGTTTTTAAGAAAGAGTGAAAAGCAGAGGTTTCTTTAGCAGCCAACGTGCCACCTGAATTAAGTCAAAAGATTAATCTTGATTACTACAAGTGAGTTGAATACCACCAGACCAGAATCCACGTAGAAGCAGATGCTTATAATCATGATGATGCCAGTTTTAGGTTTAGCTTCAAATGCAGGAGTTGAGAAAGGGTCAGTACAAGTTAGTGCCAAAAACTTCAGTATCCTCTGTAGAAGGTATATGCAAATACCTCATAGAGTAGTACTAATTACATAAACAAGATACCAGTTAAGTGATAGTTGGCACGTGCAATAACGGTAATATGTCACACACTGCACTAAGAGCAGTAGTCTTGTAACTCAAGCATTAAACTCAAGGGTTGCTTTGCTTTTTTTTTTTTCCTCCTGCAAGAAAAATGCAGTGGTACACTCAATATAGCACATGCATCTTTCAAAGCATTCTCTTTTTAAATTGCTTTAAGAGTGGTTCAAACACGAAGTTCCCACATATATCTTTTGTGCTGGTGAGCACAGACATGCCGCATACAGGCCTAACCCCATAAAGATTTCAGATGACATATAAAACTTGTATTTCCCCATTCCTTCACTGTGTGCATTACAGACTTTACTAATCAAGGCATTGGTGTTGTGTGATCTCTGTGGACAGGACCAACATTGCTGAATGATGGGCTCACTTGTTGCCTTAAAGTTCTCTAACCAGATTCTGCTGGCTCTGTGAAACCTCTTTAATTTGGATGTGCTACAGAATGAGAAAAGCCGTTCGAATATCACATCAAGAAACCTTCCACCTTACCTTACCATGGATAGCAGTAGAGAGGAAGAGAGACCTAGCATTCAGGCAATGTTCCTTCAAACACGGGTGTCCAAGGTCTCCTGGGTGGTAACCAGTTTATACTAAAAAGGGAGTAGAGGCTCATCAGAGCCCTCTCTAAGCCAAATACCAGCATGGCAGAATGACTGGCCCAACACAGGTGACACAGCAGGTTGCCAGAGGGGCCAGCAACAGGGTCTGATTTCTTAAGCTAATGTTCCATTCAGTGGAAGGCAGCAAGCGACCTGTAGCTCAGGCATTAGTAGAAAGTAGTTGGACCAGTTTTTCTTATTCCTTGTTATACTTACAAACAATTTTCTATAAAAACTATGAAAGAGAACAGCAAGATAACATTTTTTATCTCCTCCTTGCTTACGGACAGGAGTTTATAAAGCAGAGACCCATGAGATAGACTATGTAGTGGTTCCTACTATCTCCCATTTAAGTTTGTCTCACTGGAGCTAGTTTTGTGTCTGAAGAGGCACAGCAGACTCTCACTGATCAGTATGTAAACACGCAGGCCTGTGCCCTGCAAACTAGTCTGCGGAGCGCAGTGGTTCTTATGTAATGGGACACCTGCAGGTTTGTGCTTAAAGCCAAACAAACCTTGTCGTACCACAACTTCATTTGCCACTCCAAATTGGTACATGAACTCATGTCTATCTTCCTGCAGTGTGATGTATCCACTTCCTTCTGAACTATAGATAAGTAAAAGAAAATTGTGTTCTGTGAGATGGCTTACTGAGCAGGCAGGCTAAATCTATTCAGTAACAGGGTTAAAGCAATATACTATCATATTTCTGGATTTCCATCTTTATTCAAAGTGGCAAGGTTAACATAGTATTTTTACTCATTTCGTTTGTCAATTTTTACCTAAATTATTTTGAAAGCATATAAAAAACATTGTCATTACCCAGACAAAAAAAAAAGTCACTTGAAGCTAAAATTCCCAACAATGGGACTCATTTTAAGTCTTCCTTAGGAATAGGTACCACACACAAACATGCAAGAAGAATCTTGCTGCAGTGCAACTTTTACTAGTTCTTTTATACAGTTACCAGATGATGGTGTACAAGTATCTCTTATGGAGAGAAAACATGGAGAACTTATTAGAAAACAAATATTGTATAACATGTTAAGTAAGTCCTCCCGGTTCTGCAGCAGGGGTCTTTTATAAAAGAGCAGGGCCTCTTTTATTTATAGAGATGATGGTACTCTGATTCCATGCAACTGCTTAAGAGTAGTTTCTCTAGACTGGTAATAGGTGTATTCTCAGTTTGATTTTAAATGAAAAAGCTATGTTCTTCTGTAAGGCCAGAGAGAATGAAACTAATTTTGACTTTTCACCTCCTACAAGTTGAATATAGCACATTTGCATAGACCACCTGTGCCTGTGAACAGATTTCAGTTGGTTACTTCAAATACAATTTTCCCCACTTCTGTTTGTAGCCCTTCCCATTGCAAAATATACTTTATTTCACTTCTGAATTAGTCAATCACTTGTAGGTTTCAAGTCCAAGTTCTTACCAATTCTAGCATCCTTCCTCTTTAAGAGCTGACAATATCAGCATAAGATGTAAATGGAGCAGCACTTGGTATACTTTGACATTATTTTTAAAGAATAAGATTAGATAGTATAGCAGTTACGTTTTTAAGGAGACTCTTCACTATTGTGGGTAGGTTAATAGATTCACTATTGAGAATGCAGCTTTGTACAGAGAATGTGCAATAAGCATGACCTTATTTGGGGAACAAAGAACAGCTATAATCAAAAAGTTAGTATCTTAACCAGTTAATTGTGATGCTAACTGGGCCTACTGTTAGGAAGCCTCTAACCAAAGCTCTGAGAGATGAAGCGATATATGCAGCAGGTTCTTGGCAAAACCAGGGTAACTGTGATGGCCTCATCCTGCCTACCCACCCAGCCAGCCTCCTGTGTAAGAAGGAAATTTACTGCATCAAGTGATTCCCTGCAAGCACTAGTAAGTTTAAAGGTTTTAAAAAGATACCATATATTTACAGTTTTCACAGTTGCTGGTAAAAAGGCATGATAATTTCTTTAGTCACATCCTCATGAATGCAGTGAAAGTGCAGGTTATGTGTAGATCAGCATTTCAGCTGTAACTGTGAAATTGTGTTTCAGTTTGTTCTGTATTACCTAGTTGCTCCCTGACTGAGGATAAGGTTCAAGCAGGACAGGAGACACCTGCCTTTGAGGGTTGTCTGACAGCCCTGTTCTGTTGCTGTCTTGACTTTTCACCATTTTGCCATGCAATGCAGAAGGGGTTTAATTAACTACTGCTTAGGAGAAGTGAAGAGGATTGTCAGTCTTGTTTTCAGAGATGCAAGGATAAGTAGACTCCCACTGTACAGGGAGGAAGGGATTAATTTAGGCATGGTCTGGGTGTCCAAGGTGTTGAGGACTCTGAGCAACACAAGAGAGTCAAGGAAGTGAGACTGGGCAAGTGAATCCAGCAGGTGCCCCTCTGTACTTTGGATGGGTGGATTTTTGTAGAAAATACTCCTCACAAAGTCTGAATTACTCAGATGATGCATGTTAGAAATATTTGTCTGGTTTTACCAGTATGGGAGAGTTATTTGTAGCATCTGATTGTTTTCTCAAATCGGTGTGGCCTGAGTCCGTTCCAAGGAAATCCCCTTACACGAAGTGTCACATATATCTTGGGAGGTTATTACTTCTTATGCCTTTTTTATTTTGGGAAAAGATGAAGTTAACCATTTGTCAAACAGGGAGCTACTGCCAGGTATTTTCTAAGACTGTCTTGCCAGATGACTCACTCCTGCTCTTTTTCTCTTCAGGAACCTTAATTGTATTGAAGCATCCCTACCCACGAGAAGTGGAAGAACCTTCCATTTATGAGTCTGTCCGAGTTCACACAGCCATGCAGACAGGAAGGACAGAAAGCGACCTTGTTCCAAATGCTCCTTCAGTAAGTTGTGTTCAGTGAGAGGGGTGCTTCTCCTGGCCCGAGTTTAGTATGATTCCTGGAGTGAGCTATGGAGTAACACTGGTAATTCATCACTTTGTGGGCTTGTAAATACAGGACATCTTTGCCAACCAAGGCAAAACAAACAAAGACTTGCTAAGTACAGTCCCATGACAGCTAAAGCCTTTTAGAACTGTCTCTGAGATTTTCAATGCTGTCACTGGGAAAACACTGTCTGTAGCTGACCTAGGTAAGTCTGACCATCCAAACAAAGAATATATGAAAGGTTTTCATTCTTCTGTTACCTTCCTTTTAGAATGCCATCTTAACAATAACTTTATCAGGAATTAAAAAACAAACCCACACAACAAACACACCACTTCTCACATCTTTCTGACAACACTCGTTAGACTGTATGCAACAATACACATGCCAGGTTGCACAGTAAGCCCTTGTTTTGCTCAACATCCTTTACAGCCAGTGGGAAGTCTCTCTGTCTCTCCCTTCCCAGGTAAGGAGAGGAATACCCCAAATAGCAAAGCCAATTAACAATTATGGGATTTACCATATTTTGTCTCACTTGGTGAATATGAGGATTAGATGGCAGGAAGTAGATAGTAGTTCTGACAGACAAACTCATTACTACTTACTATTTTTGCAGGCTTCTTTGTTTCTTAGAACTACTTTGCCCAGTTAGAAATACACAGCCTTTCTATGTCAGTTAAAAAGCAACCTACTGAAAAAAGTATTCAGACATGTGCAAGACAGGGACACATTTGGAAAAGGAAACCCCAAACTGAAGCACTGTATAACCAAGTTAATCAGAGTATCTATATGTGGATAGGTACATTACTCAAAAAGGGGTTTTTTTGGCATCTTCACACTTGGATTTTATTATTTTAGAATCACCTTGTTTAAAGGAGGAAGACAGTCTGTATTCTGACACAGACTTAAACCCAGAAAAGAGAGGTATGGCAGGAGAGCCTCCACCCTTTCAGTCCTGGTAGTTTTGAGCACAGTAAAAAGCTATGCCTTACTGGTGCGAGAAACAAGAGAACATCTTCATATCCATTTGGGCCACCAAAGGCTGACATGTGTGACTCACGTGGGCATTAATTACAGACTTTAAATCCCTAGTAACTCGTATCTAAGTGAGAGAAGTCGTTTCCAGAACAGTATTGCTCACAACAGAGAGTATTTTAGTTACATACTATATTTTTTGAGAAAAAAGAGCAAGAGTTACATTAATACAGGTAAATGGAGTTAATAAAAAGAACCACTTCTCATGTATCTTACAACCAACCGTTCACGGCTGAGTTCCACTTTAACCTCCAAGGAAACTTAACTTCCACATGCAACCAATATAAAGGCAGTATTTTTTCAAGAGCCAAGTAGTAATTAACTTGGCCAGAATTTGGTTTCCAGAGGCATGCAGTCTCACAACTAGGTCCCTACACAGGGTTTCAGTATCTGAGAAGTCATAAGGTCCCAGCATCATTCATGGTGTCAGAAAAACAGTTCAAAAAACAATTTTTCAATAAGCATATTGAATGTATCAGGCTTTTCCTCTCAAGCGTGTGGCTGTCTGGGGGAAGAGAATGCCTAAGTAAAACACATCAAGAGTGATTTTTTTGTGGATAATTCCACTGTCAGTTAAACCCCAGGTGCTTCTGATTACAAGACATACTGAGGCAACCATCTAACTTTACCAAATAAACTGTAAGTGCAACTATTTTGCAGTGTTTGGTTAAGAAGATGCAGGCCAGAAGCGTGCCAAGGGAGTCATGGTGTAAGAGGCTGCCTTTAGAACTAGCACAGGCCCATGTTTAACCTAACTGTGGATCCAGGCCTGTGGGGTGAGGACAGGGCAATTGGCCATGGGAAGTTTCCCTAAGGACAGGCTGCTCTTGCTTGTTCTGGATATAGGCAGAGAGGGGAATGTGGGAAATAAAAATAGAGCATAGTCTCTAACCCCAATCCCTTTCCTTGTTTCTTCACAGCTTGGTACAAAAGAAGGATATTTGATAAAACAAGGCAAAATAGTCAAGGTAAGGAAAAACTCTTATTCCTTGCTTCTACTCTGCAATCACCCACAGAAGCTAGAGACAATGTGGAGTTGAAATAGCTCCATCTGCATTCCCCTGCAGAGAGCAACAACAAAGCACGACTGTAAACCAGAGCAAGTCAAAGCCTTAAAACTTTTTCTTTCCCAAGACGCAGTACGCTCAATTCTCACAAGACAGTTACCATCCATCCATTCTTGATCTTTCAGAATTGGAAGACAAGGTGGTTTACACTGCATAGGAATGAACTTAAGTATTTCAAAGACCAGACAGTAAGTAGCAAACAACTCTTTAAACCTCTCTAGAGGCAGCTGCGGCCTCCTCATATCTCTAGCTTCTTGCATCTGTGTCAAAGCTTCACATACTGTCAGAGGGGTCAGGCCTCTCAAATTAGCTCAGACATCTTGCTCATGACTTCAACAGGAAAAAGCAAGTTTTACAGCTGGAAAACATTACTGTGCTCTGTAGTCTTACCTACTAGTTAGAGCTGTTATTTACAGTGCATTTTTGGTTGCTTTGTTCAGTGGATTTTAAGCTACCAGCACAACATGGTTTTTATCGGTAGCTTTGACACACAACATAACAGACAGTGGTGCTATTAAAATATTTCTGCAAATACTAAAGTATATTTTGCACTCCTTTCTTTCGTCCTTCTATTTCAAGTATATGTAGAAAGCCACTGATTCAAAAACTACCTCCTTTCTAGCACTCTGACATGGATTAACCTGCTGCAGCTGGGAAAAACAGTTGTACTTGCTGTTCCATTCAATTCTTAAACTGAGTAAAAATAAGAGATACCTCTTAGAGTTTCTCCACCCTTTCAATACCTCCTTTGTGAACACAGCCAAACTGTTTTCCTCTGCCCGTCTGCACAAGCTCTGCTTCAAGCATCTCACAGATTTTAACACAACAGCAGACACAACTCTCTTACCAAACATTACCATTTACAAACAGTTAGGTATTTATGGGGCCTACCATCAGCTTTCATTTCAGTTCAAGCCAACTTCAGTTAAGTTTCCAGGATAACATTTCAAAGGGCAGCACTGCAAACATTTGAGTAGCATCTGTGACTTACCAGGTGACAAGGTGTCTCTGTCAGGAACATGGCCTCCTCCAGGGCAGCAGATCTGATGTCTCCTGGCACTCCCAGTGTTGCTGTGGGGTTGCAGATGCCTACAGGTGAGCAAGTTGCTGCTGGCTCTGAGAAGGCATTTGCTAGCACACCTCAGCACAAGGGGCTTGCTTCTAGTGTAGTGTCTAACAACCACTGAGCCAGAAGAAAACACAAGGAAAGGTGGGAAAGCAACAGACACCTCCATACACCTGATGAAGGGCCATGGGACGACCAAAGGGCATTTGGGTAGAGGGCAACCTGTTCTACTACTTCAGCTGCCTCTTCTGAGGTGCTCAGGGCTTAGGGACATGGTTTAGTGGTGGAGTTGGCAGTGGTAGGTTAACAGTTGGACTTTACAATCTTAAAGACTTTCCAACCTAAATGATTCTATAAGAGTGTAAGACCAAACACAATAAGGAAGAACTCTCACACCTAGGGAGGATGAAACTTTTAAGGGAGCTATAGTTACACATAGTCTATATCCCCATACCTGAGCACTCCTAGGTCTGCCCCAAGAAACTTGAATACGCATGCACGCACGCACGCACGCACGCACGCAGAGCTCATGCAGCCAAACCCCTCACTCCTGCTGCAGGCACTACTTCAACTTTGCCTCTGCATTGCTCTCTACCCAGCTTCATCCTTTTAAAGCACTTAGGAATTAATGAAACTTGCAACAGCTGGCTAGGCCTGGTAAGACCTCTTAAGTCTCTGTAGAGTTTAGTTGGAAGTGATACCAGATTTGTTGCTGTGTCAGTTACATTATAATGCATCAAGCAAACCTTAAGCAGACTGCATTTAGCTCACACTTTCTGCAGTAGTCATCTCCTCCATTGTTTGTCTAGATCTGAACTGACTGTCCTGTTTTTTTATATGTAGCTCAATTCCTATCATGTTAATACTGATACTATGCTTGTTAGTATGGGTTTATGGTGTTGCATCTATTCCTGTGCCTGCAAAAACCTAGCGTGTTTGTAAGGATCTAGATATACTGAAGATGAACCAAGCTAGCCTTATCATCTGATTTCGCATGTTCCCATTCTAAACCCATTCTATTTTAAAGGCCACAGAACCAATTCGGGCACTTGACTTAACTGAATGCTCAGCTGTGCAATTTGACTATTCCCAGGAAAGAGTCAATTGTTTCTGGTAAGTTGCTGTACTTCTTACACCTTGCTGGAATAGCCAGGGAAGTTTGAAATGTGACAGCTGGGTGCTTCCTTGCCCATTGTGACCCTGCTCTTTCTCTAACTCATGAGTCTCTTTCTGTCAGCCAAACTCTGTCAGTCCTGTGTGGCTTTGACATATTACCACTGGAAAAAGGTTTCTTTTTCTTGGCAAGGAGGAAGGGTGTAGGCCTATGTGTGGTGGGAATTTCTTTTCCTGTTTCTGTAAGCATGTATAGTCATCACCTAGACCCATGGGCTAGTTCCTAGTTCAGACATTGCTACCAGTCACACAATAACCACTTCTGTGCCCAAATGGGGGACTTATGTCCTTAGAGGCCTGGGGTAGAATCTTCCATGGATGTAAAGGACTGTAAAGAGTTATTGGCTAACCTCCCTCCTGATGACTGCATGGGAGCACAGCCTCCCCACCCTGCTCTGTCTAAACAACTGCTGGTGCAGGCCAGCTGGGTTCAGTTTTACGAAGAATTACCAATTGTTCTATCAATTTAAGAAATGGCCTTTAATTGCTTACTTACAGTTTAGTGTTCCCGCTAAGGACATATTACCTGTGCGCGAAAACTGGAATAGAAGCTGATGAGTGGATTAAAATACTGCGATGGAAACTGGTAAGGTGATGTGCAGTGTCAGGTGGCAGTACACCTCAGGCAGCAGTACCCTTGGTACTGCCATCATAAACTCCTCAGTATGGTAGCACCCAAGCACTACAGCCCTCAGGATGTGGAAGAAGGGAGTACTTGTTCCAGCTTCCAGGCCACCTAGACTGGGATATGTAGTTTTCACATAATGTATATGCCTCCAAACCCACTTCAGCAATTTTGGGATGCACTTTTAACACACATACTCATTAGAAAGAAGAAATTAATCATCTTTAAGAATGTCATTTTATATACGGTAAACAGTATGGAACATCAGCACAGACTGCATGTGTTGGGTCATGAAGGGAGCAATAAGACACTGTAAAGGCTTGAAAGCATTACGTCCTTAAGAATACCAGTATCTGGGTTGGTCATACTCGCCCACATCCACATGCATGCAGACAAACAGTAACAGATCATCTTTCTGTTCTAGTCACAGATACGGAAGCAACTGGAGCAGCGTAATGCCACCATCAGCTCCTAGCTGCACCTCCCCTGCTTCTCTCCATTGGCAGGAACTGCCTCTTGGCCAGGAGAAGGCATTGCTTACAAGAGGACAGTTTCACGTGTCTCCGTTACTCATGGTGGGCACATGTGTGTCTGTGTACCCGCACAGGGACACTTGCACCCAGCTCTGTGCACAGAGTGCTCTCAGGCCATTGAGCTCGGGTGTAGAGACAGTTGCAAAATCAGTGTGTTGGTTTGACTTGAATGGTGTGTGCCTGCAACACTCAATTTAAACACCTCTTCACTAATCACAGATATAGTCACTGTTGAAAACTTCTGTGGTTATTCAGAGCACTCTTGGTAATTTATTGCAAGCTCCATCACAACTTTCCATTAGCAGCACATTCTGTAACCTTGAGCCAGTTATTTAAAACCAGTCCTTTCTGGAAACAAGTACATATTTTGCATGATCTGTTTAGGCTTTAAACCAAAAGAAAAATGATGGAGGCAATTGCATTGCTGTAAATAGTATCTGTATTACAATCCAGACAATATTTCAAGGTGATGGATGAGTAAACACTTAGTTCTGGTCAAATCTGGTTTTGTATGGCTTACATTTGTACCCCAGTGATGGCTACAAGGGACCATTTGTTTCAGACAGCATCATCTACAGGTAACAGTGAGCAGCAGCATGCAAACACACCTGACAAACGGGTTATGAGGAACAGGCAGCTGGTTCCCAGCACACTTAAAACAGAGCTACTGTGGGACCCTAAAGATGGTGACAGGGCTCCACAGAAGGCTTTTCCCGTGGCATCTGCCAGCGTTGAGTAGCATCACAGGTTGGGCTCCCAACGGCCCCTCTTGGGAATGGACTGGATTTTATATGTTTTCCTCATGCAGAGAACTCAAAATGAGATTCTGTGCAGAACTCCATTCAGAATTAAGCACTTTGTATTAAACAAAAAGCACCCCATACACTAAAAATAGGAATTTAAAAGAATACACCTTGTACATAACCTGATGTAAATTCCTATCTATATTTTGGAAGACTCACACAAATTAAGCGTGTTGTGGCTAGCTACAGAGTAAGGAAGTGGAAGCCCAGTACTTTGGTGCTGTAGTCAAAATAGCTGTTACATGGTGGAAGCAAAGTTTGACACACTGGAAGGTCCCAAGAGCAGCTTGGCCTGACCTCAGAGCTGACCCAGCAGTGAGATGAGAATCCCTGGACAATCCTGCTCCCCCTGGAGGGCTGGGGAAAGAGGGGCCCATGTCCCCGTGCAACAGTCAGGTTTCTGCTGAAACAGAACATGCAAACCTCTCCAGCCATGCCAATGCTGTGGCACAGGGCTTGGTATTGCTCACACAGCAGGTCAGCATTTGACAGAGGCCTCTACTGTGGGAGGGCTGAAGAGGAGGGGAAAAACAGACTGGGAGAAAGAAAATGTTGATTTGGAGATAGAAATAGCATTTTATTTCAACTTGGAAATTAAAAATATATGTGAATATTTTTATACAGACTGTTTTCTGAATAAAACATCATTATAAAACTACCAAAGGTCTTCTGTATTGGTGCACTGTGGCAATAAAGCCTTGTCCTCCTTTCCCCCTTCAAGAAACATCTAACAAATGGGCATCTCCCATTCAGTTAAACAGCTTTGATGAGTTTGTGTGAGAGAGAAGCAGCCTAAGGGGAAGAGATGGACAATGCTCTCCAACAGCATCACTGTTCTGTGACTACAGCTTGGGAACGAAGCCTGAAGTGTAACATTGTCCTGGGTTCAGCTACAGCAGTC